TCAATGACATGTCATTGAGTCACATATAATAGGGACCATGCTTGAAGATTATTGCTGAACTATTAAAAAAAATAGCTTAGTAACATAGCCGCCATAATCTCTGGAGAATTATCTTCTTAAAGCAATCATTTATACAATTACTATATTATATACAGATGATTCAAGCCAAAAATAACTTGATAACCTGAGTATCTTCACCAAATATACACACACACATATTTTTTTGTGTGTGTGTGTGGCCGGTAAGGGGATCGCAATACCCTTGGCTTGGTGTTATCCGCACCTGGCTCAGCCAGTGAGCGCACTGGCCATCCCCATATAGGATCCGAACCCGCGGTGGGAGCGCGGCTGCACTCCCAGCGCTGCACTCTCCCGAGTGCATGTTATCCGCACCTGGCTCAGCCAGTGAGCGCACTGGCCATCCCCATATAGGATCCGAACCCACGGTGGGAGCGCGGCTGCACTCCCAGCGCTGCACTCTCCCGAGTGCGCCACGGGCTCGGTCCCCACCAAATATATTTTTTAAAGTTTAAAAGAACTGCTCTTCCTCAAAAATATTTTCTAAATCAATCTGGTTTGCTCACAATTAGACCAAATTAATTATTCCTCAATTCAATTCAAAAACTAAGCAGCTAATGTAAGGATTTGATAACAAGAAATACAGGCCTTTCAAGGCAAGGTCATGTTCACAGGCTTCACTAGTAACCCTGAGAGGTAAGCTGCTGAAGCAGCAGGCCACATAAGGCATAAAAATTTTTCTAGTTCAAACTGGTGAGGTGGACAAAATGCATTTTCAGTGGTTTTACCCGCCCCCTCTCAGTCAGTGTCCCCTATCAGCACCTGCCTCCTAGGACTTGATCTTTCCAACACTGAGTTCCAAGGAATGTTAATAAATATTCAAGGAAAATGAGGTCCAAGGTCAAATGAATTTGGGGCCACAGTGAATGAGATGCATTGAAACAAGTTTCATTATCAAAAGGTTTCTCAGAGCCTTTGATATGATCATGTGCATTGTGCAACTCCAGACAAGGATCTAGAATGCTTCATTTCCCAAATTTACTTGCCATGGAATCCATTTTCTGTTGAGCTGTCTTAGTTCTAATGTTTCATAATCGGGATCTGGGAAATGCTCAACTATTAAATGTGGGCAGAATAAAACACTCCCTGGTCTGGGCAGTCTCCCACATCTTGCTTTGCCTCAAATCTTTGCTCTGGTGCCATTGTCTGTAGGCAGGAGAGCCTTCCCAAGGTGATGGCACCTCTGCCTACAGGTGTAACGGGGCAATCTCAACACTGTTTCTTGTGGGAAGGCCTGCAGGTGGATTCTAGTCCCACCTCTCACCACTGACAGGGAAAAATAAAAGAAGTGGAATGCCACTTTGGGCACACTGCCCAACGTGAGCCACCTAAAAACATCATCTAACAGGAACCACCAAGCGCTAAGAATCTAAGCAGGTCACATAAAGAGCTCAAGTCCTAAGATGACTGCTTTTGGAGTGTTAGCAGACATGGTACAGGGGGAGTAAACGACCTCATGGGGTCTGGAGAACTATGGTGGGAGGTTGGGTACTTCCACAATGTTTGGAGTTAAAGCTCCCTCCAATTTGCTTTCTGGGTAATAAATATAGGTCCAAATAGAAGCTGGCAGTTTCTGTTGTCTCCCTTTAAAGACTATAACTCAGAAACAGTAGCCTTTTCGCTTTTGCAACACCTTCCTTCACAGGGCATCGTCCACATAACACATCTCCTACTGCTTAAAGTTCCTTAATTACATTTTCCATTGTTCTCAGGGTTTAACTACACTAAAGCCGGGAAATTATAGGTACATAGTCCTGTTGCTCTGTTCAGACTGACCTGGCCTCACTTACGGACAAATAGTTTATCACATTTCATTTGACTCCTTGGTGCCATATTTCCCTCTACCCACCAGTCCAAGGTGAAACTCTTGTGGTCACTTCAGGATACTTTCCTTCTAGCTCTCTGGCTCTGAAGTTCAGGTGAGGCTGCCCTCCCAGCAAGTTCCTGCCATCTGTGCTATCCGTCTCAAGCACTGGCCCCGCGCCCCTGAACCCCCGCTGCGTCCTATTCTGCAGTCTGGCCTCGGAAGCCACGCACCTCCAGGCTTGCTTTCCCATCATTCTGCTTCCTCAGCAGCATTCTTTGCTCCCATGCCCACCTACACGCTCACATATATTATGTACATGCTTCTTTTTGACAAATTGCTGGCCTGTCTTTCTTCCCATTAGAATACTAGGAGAAGGAACACATTTATAAGGCAAAATAACTGTCTTAGACAGTGGCAAATACACACACACACACACACACACACACACACATACATTTTAGATGAAAACATAAGTTTTCTTTTAGGTACACACACACACACACACACACACACACACACACACACACACACACACACACACACATGCATTTTAGATGAAAACATAAGTTTTCTTTTAGGTACACTGACAAGAAATATAAAAAGTCCAGGCCAGGCTGGGGTTTTTTTTATTTTTATTTTTATTTTTATTCTGGTAATTATAAACCTTACTATAGCCAAACATCAAACCTGAGATTTATGACCATACTGAGTTGTCTGGAAATCCTGTTCTGGTCCAGAATGGACATGGTGCCAAACTGCCTTCGGGAGGGGGGATCAACCAAGAATGAGGACCCTTTGATGGGAGCTAGAATCAATTTGGCCCCTCAGAGACCTTTTAATTGCGAAAATGAGATGGGATCAAGTTCTCTTGGGGTCAAATCTGTTGGCAAATGGCACCATGAAAAGATCTCTTGAAGTCTGGGTTGCACTTACATCACCCGGCTGTTAAACTGCATAGAAACCCGTAACATCTACTAGCATATGAAGATGGATTAACTTAAATTGGAACTAGGAATCACTTTTATTAACTTTAAAACCTATTTAAGCAATTCAAATATAATTTTTAAATATAGTTCAAGGATATAGTTCAAGTTGTTTTAATAACTTATTTCCAAGTTGTTAAAAAGTTTCTATGTTCAGGGCCGGCCCGGTGGCGCACTGGATAGTGCGCCGCTTGGGAAGCGCGGCGGCGCT